TAGCCTCAGAAACATGGTGAAAATTACGCACTGGGATATAGCTCAGTAGAAGCCTCCCTGCTTAACATGTACAAAGCCCTGAGTTCAGTCCCCAGTACAGGAAAAAATCTGCTTGACATTGAATAGTTCCTTTAGTGCTTTTTTTTCCTCCACTACATTTAGTTATTACAAGTACTTACAGGTTCTGTTCTGTCTATAGTGAAGATCCAAACCCATGGCCTGGTGACTGCTAGTCAAGTTCTCTGCCACTAAGCTACTTCCCTCAGCTCAGATATTTAGAGTTTTTATTTTTTGGCTATAAACATTTGTTTTGAGACAGGGACTCCCTATATAGCCCATTCTGGCCTTAAATTAGATCGTCCTGCCTTAATGCTGGGATTAAGACATGTCCCATTGTGCCTACTTCATGGCATTTTTTGCTTGATATTTATCAGTAATAATTCCCTCCACCCCATTCTAAATTTGTAATATATTTGTTAAGGGAAAACAGAATGATGTGCTTGTTAGGTGGATTAGATTATTTACTGAATTGGTAGACTTAAAACATCCTAATACATTTGATGTTAGGAGATATGAAACTGTCCTTTACCCTTTACTAATCAACAAATATTTGCTCCCACAGGCTCTGATGGATGTATATATGAAACCTTGATACCAACATATTCAATTGACACAGAAAAAAATCAGAGGTTAGTTAGGTCATTGGTGCTCAAGGCTGTTGTGTCTGGTGGTGCTCGAAATCGAACTACACTCACCATCCTGGATCAAGATCATGTGGCAGTCCTAGGACCTCCGCTACCAGCTTCCAAGGGTAACTGAATCACTAAGTCTCTGCATTTTCCCCCTCAAATTTAGCTTTAGCCGTTTATCTTTTTTTGCATTTTTCTCTCTTTTTCTTTCCTGCAAAGTCTCACTGTGTAGCACAGGCTGGGCCTCAATCTCAAGATCCTCCTACCTCAGGTTCCCAAACACTGGGCTTACAGGTGTGTATCCCCATGCCCAGTGATTTACAGTATTAAATCTTCCAATTCACGAACTCAAGATGTCTGTCCATCTATTTCTGTTTTCTTTCATTTCTATTAGCAATAATTTGGTTGATTTTCTTATATTTTTATTGTACAATTATTTACTTCCTTGGTTAAATATATTATTTTACATGCTAATATAAATGGATTTTCTTTTCTAACTTTTCAGATTTTTCATTTCTAGGTTTTAGAAACACAGCTGATTTTTTTAATATTTATTTTATTTTATGCATATGAGTGTATTGACTGCATATATGTGAGTGCACCCATGTTGTGCAATGCCTTTGAGGTCAGAAGAGGGCTTCAGATTCCCCTGGAAGTGTAGTTAAGGACAGTTCGTGGCCGCCATGTGGGTTCTAGGAATTGAACCTGGATCCTCTGCAAGACTAGTCAGTGCTCTTAACTGCTGAGCCATCTCTCTAGCCCCAACACAGCTGATTTTTATGTGTTGATCTTAAACCCTGAATTTTTTGCTAAATTTATTTATGGATGCTAGTTTGCGTGTGTTCTTAGGGATTTTGTCTACATGGGGTCATGTCAACTGTAAATATAGAGTGAAGCCTGTCAGTCTCACCTTAGTTTGATGAGCATCTTGGCTTTCTCATAGATGCCCTTGATCTTGTCCAGGGAGTTCTTTTCCTGGTTTTCTGAGTGTTTTTATCGTAAAGGAGTTTTAGGGTTTTTGTTTGTTTGTTTTTGTCTTTTTGAGACAGGGTCTCCCTGTAGCCCCAGCTATCCTGGAACTCACTATGTAGACCAGGCTGGCCTTGAACTCACAGAGATCTGCCTGCCTCTGCCTCCTCCCAAGTGCTGGGATTAAAGGCATGTACCACCATGCCCCTCTGAGTTATAGGTTTTTATCAGGTGTTTTCTTTGTGCCAACTGAGATGATTTTGTTTTTTCTCTTAATATAGTATGTGATCTAGGTTGATTTTCTTATATTGAACCACACTTTCAACCCTGGAATAAATACTTGTTTATGGTTTTTGTTTGTTTGTTTGTTTGTTTTTGTCTTTTTGAGACAGGATCTCTCTGTAGCCCCAGCTGGCCAGAAACTCACTATGTAGACCAGACTGGCCTCGAACTCAGAGATCCGCCTGCCTCTGCCTCCCAAATGCATGGTGTGCCACCATGGCCAGCTGTTTATGAATTTTAATATTCTATTGGATTCAACTTGTTACTATTTTGTTGAGGGTTTTTTTTAAGCATCTGTATTCATAAGATACGTTGTCTCTCTATAGATTATATGTGTGTTGTCCTTGATCTTAGGGAAATATGGACTTAATGCAATAGGTTAGGAGGTGTTTCTTCTATATCCTGAAAGAGTTTGGTGTTAATTTTGTCTTTGGTAGGAGTCACCCATGAAGTCATCTGGTCCTGGGGCTTTTCTTTGTTGAGTATTGTTTTAATTATAGACTCTTATCTGACCTAAGACCTGTAAGAGCTTGTTTTCCACTCCGCTTCTTCCATGCAGTCACTCCTTGTTTATACTTGATAAGCAAACTTTTATGTATTTACTTCTGTCTCCTTCCCTCACCCAGAGATCTTGCATACTTATATTTAAGTCTGTTTCTGAATTTGCATAACTTATTTTATAGAATGCCTCTCCATATGGAACAGAAAGTTTCAAACATTACAGTCTTCAAAAGATTTCCCACAAGGAACCAGTCATCAAGTAAATTGGGTTTTTGGGTTTGTTTTTTGTTTTTGTTTTTGTTTTTTTGTTTTTTTTTTTTTGTCTTTTTGAGACAGGGCCTCCCTATAGCCCCAGCTGACCTTGAACTATGTAGACCAGGGTAGCCTTGAACTGACAGAGATCCCCCTGCCTCTGCCTCCCAAGCCAAGTGCTGGGATTAAAGGCGTACACCACCACCCCCCGAAAGTTGGGGATTTTTTGTTGTTTTGTTTTGTATTTTCTTGAGGACTCTTCAAATAATTGGTTCTGGATTGGGATTGGGTTTTTGTTTAAGATGAAGTGTTGCTATGTAACCCAGGATGGCCTGAAACTTGCAGTTCACCTGCTGTAGCGTTGAGTGCTAGAATTTATAGATGTGTGCCACCATGGTGGACCAAATTTAGTAATTTGGCTTTCTGGTAAATATTCTGTGAGGGGAGAGAGTTCTTTTCACATCTAAATATTTTTAGAATTACAAATAGTGTTTTACCTGAAAGATTACGTTTGATTTTTGTTTAATAGCTTGTTTTATCACTTTGAAAAAACTAAATTATGGCTAGTTTTAGATTAAGAGAGAGTAATTTTGTTTTTAGCTGCTCTTTGGGTTTTTTTTTTTATATTTGTGTTTTAAATTGCAACCTAACGTGTTACTTTTCCATAATAAATTGGCTGTTTAGGCTCTATGTTAAATGTCACTGTATTATCTTTTCTGTTGCTATGATAAAACATAAAAGCAATTTATACAGGGAAGAGTTTATTTGACTTTGGTTCCAGAGTGTGAGAGTCCATCATGGTGGGGCAGAATGGAAGGAGGCAACAGGAAGGAAAGCAAGCCAGACTGGAAGTGGGACAGGCTGGATACTCTGAAAGCCCACCTCAGTGATATGCTTCCCCCAACATGGCCACACCTCCTAAAGGTTTCATGACCCTCCCCAAATGGCACCACAGAGTGAGGACCAAGTGTCCAAATACTTGGAGCCTGTGGGGGACATTCATTCAAACCACTACAGTTACCGTGCTTGCTTAAATTTAAGCTGACCCAAACTGAAGGCTGAGGTCCTTGTCTGATTTGAGTGATGGATTGAATTTCAGTTCCTTTCAAAGATGCCAAATATTTAGTGTTTGGCAACTAAACATTTGCATATGCAAATAAAGTCAATTAGGACAGTAGGATGTTAGTGACTTTTTAAAAGTTTTTTTTTTTTGAAGGGATGTTTTTAAGACAGGGTCTCCCTGTAGCCACAGCTGGCCTGGAACTCAGTATGAAAACCAGTCTGGCCTGGATTCACTGATATCTGTGTGCCTCTTCCTTTAGAGTGCTGTGGTTAAAGGTGTATGCCACTTTTTAAAATTATGTATATGGATGTGTGTCTTGTTGGGGTATGTACACAGGAGTGCAGGTCTCCACAGAGGTCAGAAGAGGGCATCAGATCCCTCTTGAGCAGGAGTTACACCCAGTTGTGAGCCACCCAACATAGGTGCTGGGAACTGAACTTGTATCCTCTGTAAGAGTAGTACTTGCTGTCAACCACTGAGCCTTCTCTTCAGCTCCAGATGTTACTGATTTAATTAAAGGCTAGAGACTGGGTTATAATTACATTTGAACAAATGATTTTGCAAAATCAACTACTTACAATTCTACTCTAGCAAACGTTGGGAGCCAAGAGTTCCTGTAATCCCAGCACTCAGGAATTGTAATTGTATCCAGCCTGGGCTACATAGTGAGCCTATCTCAAAACATCCAACCAAATAAAGGCCTTTAGAGAGTGCTTAATTCACATTTGACCTCAATAAATTGTGCATATTATATTCTTTTGGAAAGGAACTTTTTTTCCTTATTTTGTGTTGTATTGAGATAGCTTAGAAAGTAAGTTATTGTTATGTCAAAAGCTTGAGTTTGAGCCAGGTGTGGTGGCACAGACCTTTAATCCCAGTCAGGGAAGCAGAGGCCTCTGTGAAATAGAAGCCAGCAGCTACATAATGAGTTCCAGGCTACAACAAGGAGACCCTGTCTTTAAAAACAATTTCGAGTTAAAGACTCAACCTACATCAACAGATGAAGAAAATGTGATCTATTTACATAATGGAGTTTTCCTCATAAAGAGGAATTAAATGTCATTAGGAAAATAGATTGCCAGGCCTGGTGGTAAACACCTTTAATCTCAGTATTTGGGAGGCAGAGACAGGTGAATCTCTGAAATCAGGGCCAGGGTGGTCTACATAGTGAGTTCCAGACAAGCCAGAGCTACAGAGATCCTGTCTCAAAAAGACCAAAAAGCGGGTCTGGAGAGATGGTTCAGTGGTTAAGAACATTGGCTGTTGTTGCAAAAGACCCAGGTTTGAATCCCAGCACCCCCATGGCAGCTAACAACTGTCCGTAACTCCAGTTCCAGGGGATCCAACAGCCTCTTCTGTCTTCTGAGGGCATTGCATGTACCTACCCACATGTAGGCAATACACACATACATATAAAATAAAAATAATAAATAAAATATTTAAAAAACAGAAAGCAAAAAAAGGAAATAGATGGGATTTAAAATCGTGATATACAAAATAAGCCAAACTCTGAAAAACTACCAGGATTTTTTCCCCGTGCTGAGTCTAGACTTTTTTTTTTATATTTTTTATTTTATGTGTATGTAAGAACATTTGTGTCCTATAATGCCTGCGGAGGTTAGAGGAGGACATTGGATCCCCTAGAACTGGAGTTACGGACAATTGTTAGCCACGATGTGTGTGCTAGGATTCAAACCCGGGTCCTCTGTAAGACCAGCCAGTGCTCTTAACCACTGAGCCATCTCTCCAGCCCAGAGTCTAGACTTTTAGGAGAAGATGAACAGCAGGGGTAAATGGAGAGTGGGTAAGTGGGGGCTGATTGTGAACTATAGGAAAATATAATGGAGGCCGTCATAAAATGTTAGGGGCCATTATTGAGTCAGATATTAGAAAAAAATACATGTTTACTTTTTCCTTCCAGCTCTGGTATTATGGGGAGATATTGTTTATGCTGCATGGAAAACATCTAATGGTAATTCCATACAAGTGTGAAGTGTCATCATTAGCAGGAGCCCTTGGAAAACTGAGGGGCATAGTCAAGATCCAGGTAGAAACAAACTTACATACTTGGTTTATTAACATAAAATATTTTATTAACTCCCAGTTTCATATGCAGCCTCCTATTTATAGTAGGGCCTTTCTTGCCTTTTTGGGGGGTTTTGAGACAGGGCCCCTTGTAGCCCCAGCTGTCCTGGAACTCACTATTGTAGACCAGGCTGGCCTTGAACTCACGGAGATCTGCCTACCTCTGCATCCCAAGTACTGTGATTAAAGACATGAGCCACCGTGCCTGGTGTAGGGCCTTAACTTTAAATTTTGATGTTCACTGAAATTTCCCTGACCAAGTGTCTACCTTGGGCATAGCCCAAATCGCAAGTATTACAAAAAACTGGAAAGCCACACTGTGTTTTAGTGGTTTTTGTTGTTGTATGAATTGGGGCGGGGGGGGGGCTTTTTGAGACAGGGTTTCCCTGCAGCCCCAGCTGGCCTGGTACTCCCTATGTGGACCAGGCTGGCCTTCAGCTCTCAGAGATCCACCTGCCTCTGCCTCCCAAGTGCTGGGATTAAAGGTGTGCGCCACCATGCCTGGCGTGTACGAATGTTTTGCCTGCATGTATGTAAGTGTACCACATGCATGCAGTGCCCTGCAGAGGCCAGAAGATGGCGTCCAGATCCTCTGAAACTGGAGTTATGGATAGTTGTTAGCTGCCATGTGGGTGCTGGGAATCAAACCCAGGTCCTTTGGAAGAACAGCAAGTTTTCTTAACCTCTGAGCCATCTCTCCAGCCCTAGTTTTTGTTGTTTTTGAGACGGATTCTTGCTGTGTAGCCCTGGCTGGCCTGGAACTCACGAAGATCTGCCTATCTCTGCCTCCCAAGCACTAGGATTAAAGATGTGTGCCACCACACCCAGCCAAACTGTTGTTAGTGTCTGTGTTCTTCTGAATAAGGGCAATGGGGGAATGCCCAGGGCAGATCAGTACTGCCTCAACCTTCCCGGTTTTTTTGTACCTTAATAATGTTACTGGTGATTTACCAATTTGAGGTTATTAGTGGAATTAAAATTTGAGGCCTCTCTTGAAGTGTATGTAAGGGGTTCTGTTGTTCTTTAGTCGGGTAACAGTTGGTCAAAATTGTCCAATAATTTTATGTTTTGTGTTTATTCCATGCCCCATTTTGTAAACTGGGAAATGTGTCAGGAATATGAACTTGAATCCCACAGTGCAGAGCAGTCAAGGAGAATTGTGGGTTTAGTAGTTAAATAAAAAATGTTAGGGTAGTCAGGCGTGGTGGCGCACGCCTTTAATCCCAGCACTCAGGAGGCTGAGGCAGGTGGATCTCTGTGAGTTCAAGGCCAGCCTGGTCTACATAGTGAGTTCCGGGCTACAGGGAGACCCTGTCTCAAAAAAACCAAAAAAAAAAAAAAAACAGTCAAGGTAAATGTTGAAAAACAAGAAAAGGCTGAATTATTTTAATGGTTTATATCTAAGTAACTCTTAAAATGTTTGGTCTTAATAACAGGGTAATTTGAGTTTTCAGCCCTATAACATCATAATCTTTAGCCAAAATTCATGTGTAGTCTGTTATTTTATTTGTAATTGGGAGGTGGGGGTCAATATGTACACATGAATTGGCTGCCCTGGAAATTGAGTTTCAGTCAGTTGTGAGCCACTTGATATGGGTGTTGGGAATCAAACTCGTGTCTTCTTCAGGAATAGCAAGTGCTCTTAACCACTGAGCCATCTCTCCAGCCCTTATCTGTTAATTTTTATGGATGTGTGTGGTACTAACTAAATTTCAGGTAAGAAAATAAGCCAGCTTGCAATTAGCAGTAATACCCTCCTGAGTATAAAGATTTTATGTTTTAAAAAAAAAAAACCTCAGCTGGATATGGTGCCTTGTGCCTCTATCCCGTCCAGCACTTAGGAGACAGAGACAAAATTGCAAGTTTGAGACCTACCTGAGCTACATAATGAGTTCCAGGCCACGCTAAATTTAAAAATCTTATTTCAGAGTTGAAATAAAACCAGTTTCCTTCTAACAAAGGTTGTTTTTAAAAGTATCAATGCCTGATATGGTGGCACACACCTTTCATCCCAGCACTCAGGAGGCAGCAGCAGGCAGATCTCTTAAGTTGAGGCCAGCCTAGTCTACAGAATGAGTTCCAGGCCAGCTGGGGCTATAGGGAGACCATGTCTCAATATATATGTTGGGGTAGAAGAGATGACTCCACAATTAAGAGCATATACTGCTTTTGCAGAGGACTCAAGTTCAGTTCCCAGCACCCACAGCAAGTGGCTCACAACTTCCTGTTAACTCCACCTGGGGGGATCTAACACCTTCTCCTGGCCTTTGTAGGCACCTGCACTCAGGTGCACATACTTACTACACAGGCAAATAATTAAAAATAAAATAAATCTAACCGGGCTAGGTGGTGCATGCCTTTAATCCCAGCACTCAGGAGGCAGAGGCAGGCAGATCTCTGTGAGTTCAAGGCCAGCCTGTTCTCCATAGCAAATCCAGGCCAGCTGTGGCTACAGGGAGACCCATGTATGTAGCAGAAATAAATAAATAAATAAGCAAATAAGTAAATAAAATCTTTAAGAAATCTACATATATTTGAAGTATGAGGTCATACTTAGTGTCCTAACCTAATCTGTTTCATAGTCCTTTAGATTTCTGGTGGATCTTTTGCATTGTTTGAAATCCTAGTGAGTTTGCTTTATTCTAGCTAAGGAGAAAAAAGATAAAAACCAGTTTACAGCCAGAAGTTCCAGGATCTGAACAAGTTTTATCAATAATAAATGTAAGTAAAAAACACTAGAATTAGGGCTGGTGAGATGGCTCACACAAGCCTGGCAACCTTAGTTTAATCCCTGGAACCCACGTAATGGTGGGAGGAGAAAACGGACTCCACACACCATGGCACTTTTAAGTACTGGAAATATTTTTAAAAATCAAGTGGTTTAGAGAGACCCATCTAGTTTTCATTCTACCTGTTCTAATGTTTCATGTTCTCTCTGGTGAATATTTGTATATTATATTTTAAAGTTGTCAGAGTTGATGCAAAACTTTTACTTATTTGACTCTTTATCTCAAAGATTTGCGATCTGGTTACACTGTTTACAGTGTAGCCTTCTAAAGATTTGATGTCCAACCTGGAAAGATGAGCAGCTAAGAGCACTTGCTGCTCTTGCACAGGACTGGGGTGTCTGGTTTCCAGCACCCACTTGATGACTTACAATCATCTGTAAGTTCCAGCGCTCTCTTCTGGCCTCCATAGATAGGTATTACATGCACATGGTGCACTTACATACATGCAGCCAAAACACTCATACACATAAAAATAAGAAAGAAAAATATTACAGAGATTTGAGAGGCCAGACATGGTGACACATGCCTTTAAACCCAGCTCTCAGGAAGCAGAGATAGGATCTCAGTGAGATCCAGGCCAGCCTGGTCATAGTGAGTTCCAGGTCAGCTAGGGCTATAGGGAGACCCTGTCTCAAAAAACCATAACAAAAAATTCTAAACTCTTAGATATTTTTCCCCCATGCAGTTTTTTGTTTTTGACGTGGTTTCCCTAGTCCCAGCTTGCCTGGAAGTTACTACATAGATCAGGCTGGCCTCATCTCACAGAGATCTGTCTGCCTCTGTCTCCTGGGGGTAGGGATTAAAGGCACATGCCACCATGCCTGGCATTGCCTTTTGCAGTTTTTTGTGTTATAGATTGTAATGTCAACTTGTTTTATAGAAATGTGTGAAATTGTTAGTATTTTGAACTGGGAGTTTTTTTTGTTTTTGTTTTTGTTTTTTTTTGTTTTTTTTTTTTTAGTACAGAGTGAAATTTATTAATGTGCCATACTAAATTCTTCCATTTTACCGTTTCAGAAGACTCAGAAAAACACATTGAAGTAGAGCTACGTAAATTTTTGGCCACGTCAACCCCTGACTTTCATACTTTACTTGGAGACGTGGTAACAGGACCTATGGGAAGACGTAAAGCAGAGCCATCCTTTTATCCCCAGAACTGTCTGATGCAGCTCATCCAAACACATGTGCTTTCCTACAGGTAGATGTGTACCAAACACCGTATGCAAAAAAAAAAAAAAAGGCCAGGTGTGGTGGCACACTGGAGAGGCAGAGGCAGGGGGGTCTCTGTGACAACAAAGTCACCCTGATCTACATAGCAATTCCCAGGCCAGCTGGGGCAATCAGGAGACCCTGTCTCAGAAAAAATAAATTTAAGAGCCGGGTGTGGTGATACACACCTTTAATCCCAGCATTTGGGAGGCAGAGGCAGGCAGATCTCTGTGAATTCAGAGCCAATCTGGTTTCCATAGTGAGTTCCAGAACAGCTGGGACCTGTCTCAAAAGATTTTTTTAATTAATTAATACAACTTTTTCATCTCAGCTTGTGCCCTGGCTTGATGGAGATTGCCTTAGAGCGCGCAGATGTACAGATGTTACAACTCTGCCTGCAGCAGTTCCCTGACATTCCTGAGTCTGCGACCTGTGCCTGCTTAAAGCTCTTCTTAAGGTAGAGTGGTCTTTTCCTTCACTTCGTTCTAAGTCTCTGACTTAATTCGAGTTCTGAAACTCTGAAAGCTTAGAAAATGAATTTGAGTTTCAAGTAGTAAGAACTAACCTCTTGCTTTCCATTGACACTGTAGCATTGGGGATGACAGTCTGCAAGACATGAGTGTCAGTATGGAGTCAGTGTTTGATTGTAGTGATACCATGCAAGATGAGGAAATGGAAGAGCAAACTGAAGTTGTTCAGAATGGCTTCAGTCCCAAAGACAGTAACTGCAGTAACGAGAATCAGGAGTTAAGTGAAAAGCCTGGAGCAGCAAAGACAGTCTCGTGCCCTGTGACACCAAAGCGAGCAGCTCTGCTGTATCCTTTGAAACACTCACTTGTGCTCTCTTTCTAGGGATATAGTTATATGCCAAGCGCTAAATATGGAATAAGTAATTTAACAAGCTTCTTTTTTCAACTTTTCAACATCTGTTGAACTGGATTATATTTGCTGCCACATTCAATTGACTTACTTAAACCTGTTTTCCTGCCTCCCCCTTCCTCTTCTTCCTCCACCCCCACCCCCACCCCACTGTGTGCTAAAGATACTACAAGAGATCAGACCCATGGTTGTGTATGTTCTTGCCAAGCACTCTACTGCAGGACTGCATCCCCAGCCATTTATGCCTGTTTTCTTTGTTTGGAGGGAGACTTTGAGTTTTGGTTTGATTTTGTTTTGAAAAAGGGTCTCACATCACCAGAGAACTGCTCATTCTTCTATCTCTAGCTAAGTGCTGAGATACTGGTGGGTGCCAACACGTCTGTTTTATTAAGAAACCATATTGGGGCCAGGCATGGTGGTCCATGCCCTTTTTTTTAACTTTATTGAGAATTTCATACATTCATATAAGATGTTTTGATCAAATCCATGCCCACTCCCTCCCCTCCAGCACCTCCCATATCACCCCATCACTTTTCTAACAACTTCGTGTACTCTCTCCTTTCTTTCTTTCTTTCTTTCTTTCTTTCTTTTTCTTTTATGGGGCTTTTTGCTACTTTAACATCCCCCCTCTGAAAAGGTAACCCTGAAATCTCTTAGGGATTAGATAAGAGCTCCCAGATAATTCTGACATTTTTGGCCTTTGGAACAGAGTATGTTGCTAAGAAGCCCAAGGAGATTTTGACTTTTAGCCAAGAAACTGGCTACTTTTCTTTGGGATCTTTTTATACTAACTGCCTAGCCAATTCCTACCTCCTATTCTTATCACACCATCCTCTGAAGATTTGCCAATAGGGAACTGAACAGGGATGCAGGGTGAGGCAATTGGGGTACCCCTTCAGTGGGTCTATCTAAAAGACTTCCAAATCGCATAACTCTTATCACCACATGGGGGCAGGACTGCTCTCAGGGGGTCCCCTGAGTTCTTAGCCCCTATGCCAGAGGGAGGTCGGAATAGGCACTCTGGTGGTCTGCCAGTGGTCCATGCCCTTAATCCCAGCACTTGGCAAGCTAGAGGCAGGCGGATCTCTGTGAGTTCAAGGTCAGCCTGATATGCATAGTGAGTTCTAGGTTAGCTGGGGCTACAGGGAGACCCTGTTTCAAAAAAGAACAATAACAAAAAACTATAGCGGGTAGTAGGGGAACCAGGAGAGATGGCTCAGCAGTTAAGAGCACTAGCTGCTCTTGCAGAGGACCGGGGTTTGATTCTCAGCACCCACATGGCAGCTAATAACTGTCTGTAACTCCAGTTCCAGGGGACTCTTGTGACTTCCAAGGGCACTGGACAATATGGGAGCACTTACATACATGCAGACAGTATACTCATACACATAAAATTTAAAAATCATAATTTTTTTTAATTTAAAAAAAACACTACTGGGAACTGGGTGCTGGAGACATGGCTCCACAGTTAAGAACACTGGCTGCTCCTGCAAAGGACCAAGATTTGCTTTTTAGCACCCCCGTGGCAGCTAACCACTGTCTCTAACTCCAGTTCAGGGGAATCCGATGTCCTTTTCTGGCCTCCAAGGACATTGCATGCACCTGATGCACTTACTATATGTATGTAAAATACATAAAAATACAATGAAAAAAACTATATTAGTACTCAACATGTATTATATGCCTCACAGACACATACATACACACAAGCTTTATCAAGTCTTTAAAAGGAAAAAAATTCTATTTGTAAAAGTGAAGTTTTCCTGACCTCTAATGGTAAGAGACCTTTTTTTAAAAAAAAAAAAATTTATCTATTATTTTTATTTTATGGGCACGTGTGTATTGCTAGTAGGCTGGTCTCACAGAATTCTGCCTGCCTCTTTCTCCATGCTGGAGTCAAAGACATGGCTGATACTCCTTTTGTAAATCATAGTTTTTTTGCAGAACTTTAGAAGAAAAAAAACTACTTGAGCTGGGCGGCAGGGGGAAGGGAGTAACTCACACCTTTAATCCCAGCACTCTGTAGGCAGAGGTAGGTGGACCTCTGAGTCCGAGGCCAGCCTGGTCTACATAGTGAGTTCCGGGCCAGTTGGGGCTACAGGGAGACCCTGTGTCAAGAAAAAGCTAGAGAACTACTCATGTTTTCAGTAGAGCAGCCTTTTCCTTGTTAAAGGAAGATTTTCCTTTAGTCTGAGTAGAAATGGAATTCTACATTCAGCCTATAGTGAGACCTTCCTTCTGCCACACTTGAAGGACATCCCTGCACAGCACATCGTGGTGAGTGTTCTGCAAGTCCTGTGGAATTTTATTTCTCATTTAGGTCTACTTAACTCTGACCAGCTGTTAGTTACAGAACTAAGCTCATCCCCTTCCTTTCTCCAACTAGAGAGTTCCTTGGTGATGACAAGGACTTCAGTTTACAGTTTCTGTGTCCCCGGAGATCTGAGTCATATTTGATATATAATTTAATTGAACAGCTTCTTAGAAGCCTTTCTACTCTCTGTTGGGTTTGTTCGTAGAGAACGTTTTTCTGCCAGAGTGGTAAACTGTGCTTTTTCTTTTTCCCTCCCCCAGCTACTTCTCCAGTATTTGAATTTCCTCTACCTCAGGTGTGGGAACGCCGCCATGACTCTTCCTGGAGTAAACCCTCCAACCCTGAGCCAGGTCAGACAGCTTTGACTTTGTACAGAGCCTCCATGCCGTGTCAGCACCTAGACTTCAGTACCCGACCTTCAGCCTGTCCGGGATGAGAAGATGCTTCTCCCTCATGCAGACTGTTGGAGCTGGAGAGGGCGCCTCGGTCTAGTAGATAGATGTCTAGATTCGTAGTGCTGTGTTAGGAATTAAATTCCTGATTCATCATTATCCTTTCAAAGAATTTCTTGAGCCTCATATGAAGACAAGGAGCGCCTAGCAGTAGGTTGTCTCTCTTCATACACCTAAGAGAGTGGGTGCTTGCCGGGGGGGCTCAGATGGTGATGTGCTTGCCAGGCATGCATAAGCACCCTGAGTTTTGAGCCCCAGCACCCATGTGAAAAAGCAGGGCACAGCAACACACATCTGCAATCCAGTGTTAGATGCAGATACAGACATCCCTGGAGCTCACGGGCTGGCCAACCCAGCTGAGCTGGTGAATGGAAGGGTCCACAAGAGACCAGTAAGGTAGAAAACAACTGAAGAAGATGCCTGACCTCAGCCTCCAGCATCCACAGGCACATACATGCACACCTGCATAGGTACATACACACAGAGTTGTTGGGCATTTTGTGGCCGGGGGATTCTTGAGACAGGGTCTCCCTGTATCCCCAGCTGGCCTGGCACTCACTATGTAGACCAGGCTGGCCTCAATCTCACAGAGATTTGCCTGCCTTTGCCTTCCAAGTGCTAGGATCAAAGGCATGCCCAGCACAGAGACTTTTTTTTTGTCATTTTGAGACAGGGTCTCCCTGTAGCCCCAGCTGTCCTGGAACTCACTGTGTAGACCAGGCTGGCCTTGAACTCACAGAGATCCTCCTGTCTCTGCCTCCCAAGTGCTGGGATTAAAGGCGTGAGCCACCACACCCGGCTACAAAGAGTCTTTTTTTTTTTTTTTTTTTTTTTTTGCCATTAAAATATACTGACTCTTAGGGCTGGAGAGATGGCTCAGCAGTTAAGAACACTGGTTGTTCTTGCAGAAGACCAGGATTCGAATCCCAGCACCCACACGGCAGCTAACAGCTGTCCATAACTCCAGTTCCAGAGGATCTAACAGCCTCTTCTGTCTTCCTCAGGCATTGCAGGACACGGGTGCACTTATCTACATGCAGGCAGTACACAAACACACATAAAATAAAAATAAGTAAAAAAACATTGTGTTTAATGCTCATCCCACTCTTTAAGATTCTAAAAATAGCCATCCTACTTTTCCCTCATACATTTATGGTCTCATTTTCTGTGTTTGACTTACTGATTTGTGTAAAATGTATTTTTTAATATTTTATTATTTTTTAATTTTTTATGTGTATGAGTATGTTGCCTGCATGTATGTAAATACACCTGTGTCATACAGTGCCCACGGGGATCAGAAGAGGATGTAGGATGCCCTGGAACTAGAGCTACAGGCAGCTTCTATGCAGCTGCTGGGAATCAACCTGGGTCCTCTGCAAGGATAACCAGCACTCTTAACCACTGAACCATCTCTCCAGCCCCTAGAATGGTTTTTTTTTTTTTTTTGGCTTATTGTTTGTTTATCTATCTATCATCTATTTATTTAGTTATTTGTTTATTTATTTATTTATTTTGAGGGGGAACAGAGTCTCACCATGTAACTAGCTGGCCTGAAGCTCAACTATGTAGATGTGGCTGGCCTGGAGCTCAGAGATTCGCCTGCTTTTGCCTCCCTAGGCACAGGACTAAAGGCATGCGCCACCACATCCAACCATTTTTGTTTTTTGAGGCAGAATCTTACTCTGTAGCTCACCATGGCCTGGAACTCTTGTGATCCTCCTCAGCCTCCCAAGTGCTGGGATCAACAGCAAGAGCCACCACTCCTGCCTAGAGTTTATTTTGGTACAGGGAGTTTTGTAAGGAATCAGCTCACTTGCTCTCTCTCTCCAAATAGATAACCATTTTCTATATTTTTTATACCTGCATATTTAATACATCATTTGACATTAGAAAATATGTAGAATAATACTTTTGTAAATATATAGTTTATTTATATTATGTTAATTTGGTTCATAATAGCTCATCTGGGACACAGAACGCCTGTGGTGTGTCTTTCTAGGTAGAAGATGAGCCGGGTGTGGTGGCACACACCTTTAATCCCAGCATTCGAGGCAGAGACAGGCCAGTCTTTGTGAGTTCAAGGCCAGCTCCAGTCCAGGCCACTTGGGGGCCATAGGGAGACCTTGTCTCAAAAAAACCAAAAAAAAAAAAAAAAGGTAGAAGATGAATGGATAACTACAGGCAATTATTTTTTAAAAGTTTTGTTTGGTTGGGCATGGTGGTGCATGCTTTAATCCCAGCATTCAGAGACAGAGGCAGACAAATCTCTGAGATTCAGGAGAGCCTGGTTGATCTACATAGCTAGTTCCAGGCCATCTGGGCTAACAGGAAGACCCTGTGTTAAAAAAAAAAAAAAAAAAAAAAAAAAAAACAAGCGTTTTTGTTTTGCTTTGGTGAGACAGGATATTATTCTGTGCTCCAGCTGGCCTGGTTATGTCAGTCAGTCCTGCTCCCTCCTTCTAAGTGCTCAGATCCCAGAGAGGAGCCACCACACTCAGCAAAACAAAAGTTTCCTAAACAAAAAGCCAGTACTAACTCTCTTGGATTAATTATCATTCTGATTAATCCTGTGAAAAAGATCCAGTTACTCTTGTATAGATTGTTATTAATTCTTATAAAAGCAGAAAAAAACATATTTCCTCCATCTCTAAAATGTTGAGGCTTTCATAAAGATTTGTTCTTCTGTTTGGAACCATGGACTTGGCTTAGTGAATTAATCTTTCTGTATTTCTCTTCAGATTATGGATTGGATATGCCTACTTCTAGATGCTAATTTTACTGTTGTCTTAATGATACCAGAAGCAAAAAGGCTCTTGACTAATCTTTACAAGTTTGTGAAGTCTCAGGTTTGTGATTCTTTAATCAAGAAAAAAAAAATCTATTGCATTTCTTTATTTTGGGGGTGTATGTGTATATGAACATGGGTGGGTATTTGGGTACCATGATATACATTGAAGTCAGAGGATGACTTTCCTGAGTCCATTCTGTTGTTTATTCTATTTGAACCTAAGCATCACCCATGTGACTTATTATTGTCCTTTTAAATTATTTATGTGCTGGATAGCTTTAGTGTCAACTTGACACACCTGGGTTGAGGGAGCCTCAATTGGGGAATTTCCTCTATTGGACTGGCCTGTGGCCATGTCTGAGGGGCATGTTCTTGATGAGTGATGTGGGAGGCCACTGTGGGTGGTGCCACCCATGGGCAGGTGGGCCTGTGTTGCATAAGAAAGCAGGCTGAGCAGGGGCCAGGGAAGCAAGTCAGTAAGCAGTGTTCCTCTATGGCCTGTGTTCCAGCTCCTGCCTCCAGGTTCCTGCCCTGAGTTCCTACCTTAGGCTCCCTGATGAACTGCAACCTGGGAGATGTAAGCTGAGTAAACCCTTTCCTCCCCAAGTTGGTATTGGTCAGAGTATTTTGTCACAGCAATGAAGAAACAGACTAGGACATTTATTATTTTCTTTTGTGGGGGTGGGAGGAGGCTGTGCACATGCCATAGTGCATGTGTGAAGGTCAGAAGACAACCCAAGGGAGTTGTTCTCTCCCTCCATCTTGTGGGTCTCAGGAATCAGACTCAGGTCATAAGGCTTGATGGCAAGTGCCTTTACTAGCTGAGCCATCTGGCCAGCCCAGTTATATGTTGATTGTGATTAAACCTAAGTTTACTCATGGTAAAGGGCATACTTAGCAATCTTGAGGCTACTGATCCTATTCCAGTATCCAAAAAACATATTATTAGGAAAATCATTAGTAATGATACAAGATGTGTAGAATTTCTGGTAAAAGATGATCTGAGGCACGACCCGCAGGCCTCTCTCTGGGGTAAGTCGATCGTGCCCTCATTTACCCTCCCATATCCTCCACTGGTCTCTCCCCCTAGCCTGGGTCCTGTCCCATTCCTTGTCTTGGTGCCCCAGACACCTGGGGAACCACCACTGCTTCCTGATCTTTGCATCCAAACCAACCCAGTTCCTTCTCGTGTCCCCAGGAGCACTCTGGGCCTGGTCTTGCCCCCACCTCCCTCTGCTTCCCTGGGCTGCACAACCTGACAGCCTCTTTCCTGGACACCTGGGCTGACCTTTCCTCTTCCTGATCCTTTGCATCCAGACACCCCAGTTCCTCAGTGCAGTCCCCAGGAGCCCTTGGGGCCTCTTCCCGCCACCATCTCCCTTTGCATCTCTGGGTGGCACAGCCACCAGCTTCCCTAGACAAGCATCTTTCCTGGGCCATGCTCCCAGGCCAGTCCAACCCACAAATTCCTGAGGCCAAAATCTTTCCTGGAGGGATCCAGACCTTAGGAGAAAGCCTGAGAGCATCTGATCCTCATCTAACTTGGACCTCTGTGGAAACTCCTGAAGACAAAAGCAGTCTGGCCACTCCAATATAAAATCAAAAGAGAGAACCGGAAGTTTGGAGGAACCAGCTTTTCATGCCCCAAAGTAAACTACAAAGACACATAAAATTTACAAAAAGAAGCAGACCTAAACTTGAAGGCTTGAGTCTCACACAAGAATCAGAAACTACAAAAGAAATTCACATGTCAAAATCACAGAGAAAAAATAATAACATGAAAAACCAAATAACATATCCCCACCAAATGCCAATAGTCCTCTAGAGGAGCACAATGAGAACCCCCTAGAGACAATGCAGGACATGGAACTCAAAAGAACAATGATGAATATCATAAAAGAATGCAGTGAATTTAAAGGACACACAAACAAGGTAATCAGAAGGAAGAAGGAAGATAGGGATAAACTTCTGAATGAATTCAGAAAAGAGTTAGAAATATTGAAGAATACTCAGGCTGAAAGGAAGAAGGGAGTAAGACATTCAGTAATCTAATTAAAAATGACAGGAGAAAGCCTCTGGAAAACAGAGTATCAACACTGGAAGATAAAGTGGATGAACTAGACCACTCAAGCAAAGATTATGAAAAATTTAAGAAATCACAAGAATGGAATATGCAGGAATTGTGTGACACCATAAAAAGACCAAACTTAGGAATCATAGGCATACAGGAAGGAGAAGAATCCCAAGATAATGGCATGGAGAAGATCTTCAATAGAATCATGGAAGAAAATTTCTGAAAATTAAAGACATGCCCATACAAATACAAGAAGCATATAGAACACAAAAAGACAGGCCCAGAAAAGAAACTCTCCATGGCACATCATATTAAAAACACTAAACGTACAAAACAAAGAGACAGTACTGAAAGCTACAAAAGAGAAACAACAAGTCACACATAAAGGAAAACCCATTAGAATTTTTTTCAGTGCAAACTATGAAAGCCAGAAGAGCCTGGACCAAAGTATTCCCAGTTTTAAATGACCACAGATGCCAACCCAGATTACTATACCAGCTAAAATGTCTATTATAGTAGAAGGGGAAAGAAAAATCTTCCGTGACAATAAATAGGCTGAAGGAATTCATGTCCACAAAACCAGCCCTTCAGAGAGTTCTGGAAGCAATACAAAGAGCTGAAGAAAGGAATTACTATACCCAAGAGGTTGTGAAAAGAAATTAATGAAGGTATAACTGTGGAGAAGTACAGCTATATCAGGAATATAAACAGAAATAAAAATTACAGGATTCAATACTCATCTTTCATTAATAACTTTAAATATTAACGGACTGAACTCTCCAGTCAAAAGACACAGACTAAGTAAATGGATTAAGAAACAAAACCCATCTTTTTGTTGTCTGCAAGAAACTCATCTCACTTTCAAGGACAGACACTATCTCAAAGTAAAGGATGGAAAAAAATATACCAAGCAAATGGCACTAAGGAAAAAGCAGGTGTAGCAATTCTAGTATCTGACAAAATGGACTTTAAACCAAAACTAATCAGAAAAGATAAAGAGGGCCTCTTCATTCTGATCAAAGGAACAATAAATCAAGAAGACATTACAATCATGTACATATATTCATCAAACTGTGGTGCACCCAACTTCATAAAAACAATACTATAGGACTTTAAGACCAAGATTAATCCCAACTCACTAATAGTAGAGGACTTCAATACCCCACTGTCTCCATTAGATAGGTCAACAGGGCAGAGTTAACAGAGAGACATCTGAATTGAACAATACCATATATCAAATGGATTTAACAGACCTCAACCAAGTATTCCACTGAAGCACCAAAGGATATACTTTCTAATCAGCACCCCATGGAACCTTCTCCAAAATCGACCATATATATATGGGGCACAAAAAAAAAACCTCAACAAATACAGAAAGATTGAAATAATTCCATGCATTCTATCAGACCACAATGCAATAAGGCTTACAATCAACACCTGAAGAAGCCCGAATCACCACATGAACACATGGAGATTAAACAACACATTCCTAAATGATGAACGGGTCAAAAGAGAAGTTAAAGAAAAGTATTTCTGGAACTAAATGAAAAAGACAATACAACACAAAACCTCTGGGACATGCTAAAAGCTGTCCTTAGAGGGAAGTTTATAGCTCTAAGTGCCTACATCAAAAAATTGGAAAGAACACAAATAAATGACTTAACATTGCAACTCAAGACACTTGTAAAGCAACAACAAATGAAACCCAAACCCTGCAGACAAGAAGAAATAACAAAAATCAGGGCAGAAATTAATGAAATTGAAACAAAGAAAACAATACAAAGAATGAACAAATCCAAGAGCTGGTTCATTGAAAAGATAAACAAGATTAACAGACCACAAGCCCTGTTAACCAAAAAGAAAGAGCATCCCC